TTCTGTTTTAGATGGGGTTCTACTGCCCCTGAATGAGTTCTTACCTTGGGGGTTCTCCTTGATCCATCTTCATGTCTTGAGGCTCAGTGGCCTCAGTGACTCGGAGTGTCTTTTGTCAGCTTTGTTTGGTGACCCAACTGCATCCTTACCTAGACAAGGTTAGCCCAGTTTCAGTGATCTATAGTAATCTCTACATTAGATTACTGCAAGTCACTCTACCTGAATCTCCCCTTGAAGACAGTTCAGAAACTACTGCTCATGCAGAATGCAGCAGCCAGATTAATATCCAGGACCTGTAGGTCTGAACACAAAAGGCCAGGTATGGCCCACTTATGTTGACTGTCCGTATGCTTCCAGGCCCAATTCAGGGTGCTGGTTTTAACCCGTAAAACCTGGGTTAGGACCACAGTCTTTGTTGCAGTGCCTCTCCCAACTGCAATCTCCTTGGACTCTATGTTGCCAACTCCAGGGGAGATTCAGAGGGTGACCACAAGGAGGAGGGCTTTCTCATTGGTGGCACCTCATCTCAACCAGCCTCCCCACTGTGACCTGGGACCCAATTTAAAGATTTATTTGGAAACCTGCCTGCTGAGGGGATTACCAATCCCAGATGTCTTTTACAGGATCATTCTTCGTTGTTTGTTTTAGCTGTTTTAAACTTTTAATGTTTCTCTAATTTTAAATTTTACTGTATTTTATTATCTTGTTTCGTGGATTGTTGTAAACACCCAGAGAGCTTTGTTTATGGGGAAGCATAGAGATGCAGTGAATAAGATTAACAGTTTAGGAAAGGATGGATCTTGATCAAACACTGAGTATACTTTGCTCAGTGTTTTGCTTTAACCTACTGTTGACTTACCCTCTGTAGATTTGCTGCTTCATAGTAGTTCTTCCTATTGTTGTGCCAACTGGGTACTTCTATACACTGTTCTGTCAGTGGAACTACATCTGGTAGCCTTTATGATCTTATTATGGGGAAATGTATTTTCCATCCCAGTATTAGGGATAATAGCTTGGGCTGCTTATCTTGGTTTTTTAGTGTGTTTCATCACAGGCAACAGATGAGAAAAGCAACTATGCGCAAGAAGTTGGATTATCCAGGACTCTTTGGTATTGGACCTCACTTTGCAACCTGAAGCAAGCAAAACAGAGGTGGAACAGTTTCAGTCAGAAGCTCTGCTTGTGGAATGTAAACTCAATGAGTTTATGATATCCCCACATTACCCAGAAGACTGCACTTGGTTTGTCAGTGAGTGCCCTGCGTTCTGTGGTGTAGCTGCATCAAATTTGATTGCACCAATACCCTGCAGCTTTTCCAAACAGCAGCTGCCTGGTGCTTTTCTGCTGCAGAGGGAACGGAACACTGGGCCTTCCCCTGCTGTTGAGACTGCCAGGCTAACGGAGCCTACCTAACGGATTATCAGTGCCCTGTGAGTAATAGACTCCTCATTTAGTTTTAATACATTTTGCATAGAGAGCAATCAACCTTCATCAGTCTTAAAGATGAATTGGCTTAGCCAGCTAAATTTTAAAGATATTAGTCCGACAGCAGCCGCATAAATCATAACGTTTTCTTAATGACGGTAAAATTAAAATATACTCTTGCTTGAAGAAACCAATGGAGCTTTCATGTTCACAGGCCAAATCCTCCCCCAAAATTAAAGGGAAGCTTAATTGATGTTCTCTAAAGCCAAGTAAACTCAAGCAGTCCGCTTTTCCTGGGCTGGCCTTGTATTTCTTTCGCAGTCTATGAGTATATCTAAATCCATCCACACTGCTTCTGTGCTTTCCTTCCCTTTAAGCCACCAGTGAGGCAACAATTTCAGATGTTTTCAGACTCTTGGGCCAGCAGTCATGCTTTGCTAGGTAAAGAGAAATTAGTTCTTCACTTGCCACCGACAGAGCTCTGATAGAACGGAACACTATATGTTCATCTCCTCTTGATAGGTTTGCTGGTGTGTTGATAGAACCTACAGAAGGGACATATCTGAGCTGTGACTAGAGGCAGAAGAGTAAATTATAGCACTGGCTAATGCTTGAGAAGAAATCCTGTCTAACCATTCTGGGATAGGAAAGGTGTGTGGTTCTTATTCTAAACATAAGATGTGGCACAGTTTTCTCTAGATCTTATTCACATTAGTGTTGTGATCCTGTCTAGGAATCACATGTGATGAATATAGGTGGTTGGTATATCATTTAAGAATGTATGCAAAACCCTATTTGGTCTGCCAAAGTTTTCTCTTGGTGTGAGGAACCTATGACATGCTGATGTTGGATTACATCATCCATCATCCCTGGCTGTGGTGGTTGAGGCTGCTGGGAGTTAGGGTCCAACATCCAGACGACCACAAAGTGTTGTATCTCCACTCCAGCTAGTCCAGCATTCTGTTTTGGTCAGTGATCAACCAGTTGCATTGCTCACAAGCTGGGCATGGGCAGAGATCCTCCTCCCTCAGCCTTTGCTGCCAATAACTCATTATGGTATCTCTTTGAATAAACCATTTCTGGATTCGAATGTACCTTATAGCTTTCATGTCTAATAAGCATGATATTTCCACGATGTTTCAAGCATCGGAGAAAACTGATGTTGATGAGTCGTGCTGTCGTGTGTAGAGAACCGGAGTTGATGGGCAGAACACCTGTGAAGAACCTGTTAAGTTTAGTGTTTCTGATGCAGGAAGGGTTTATTGGAGGTCAGTTAGAACTAGATGGGAACAGCCTAGAATTGCATTTAACAAGAAAGAATAAATTTATTAACATGCATTGTTGTTTGTCATAGATCATGGATCAAAAAGTATGTAAATTAAAATTTTAATATAGTTGCTATTCAGTGTGATGTACTTGTTTGAACAAAATCATATTACTTAGCATTTGTTTAGTGCTTTCAGTGCACTGAAAGTGACTTAAATATACCCTGTACCTACTATCTTTACAACACCATAAGGTATGTCAATACTTTTGACCCCACCCTGTCTAGTGACTTCATGGCAGAGATGAGTGTTGAACAAGGAGCATCCTGATCCAGTAGCTTCCTCTCTTAGCTACTGTATTAGACTAGCTCTCTGAACTCCAGCTCAAGCCAGAGAGCTGAAGAATAAAGCTTGGACTCTACCACTCCTCTACTTCAGGAGTTCATAACTCTGCATTTACAGGAGTCTGTGCTGTGCCTTTCCTGCAGCCCTTTTTAAGGGGCATCTTTCCCCTCTCATATGAGAAGGAGAGTGAACTTGTCAGCCCAGCCCCTTTCCTTGTGGCCCTGATTGCGTTCCCTGTGTTGGGAAGGCAAACTTCTGCAGTGAAGAGCCTCTGCTTGTGTGGAGGCTTCCCTGTGACCTGGAGGACTGGAGTTCTAAAGTGCAAAGACAGCCTCCATGAGTGCAGCCGTCCTCTTTCTAGGGAAGTTCCTTAGCTGACATTTGCAAGGGAGAGGGCAGTGCCACCATATAATGCCCTTGTTATGCTGCATGTGTGAAGGTAATACAGGGAGGAGACAGGGAGAACATGCAAATAGGGCTTGTGACGGTTTCACATAACCATGTTGTTCATAAGATGATTTCAATCATTGTTTGATGGCCTAATCTGGAGTGTGCTGGCTGTCATAAACAGAACCTTTGTGTTGGGTTCCAGCAGCTTGTGTCGATGGAGAGAGACATTCATAGGAGATAATCCTCCTGTGAATTGGTCATGTGAATCTGCTCTTAAATTATATCACTGAAAGCAGCTGGAGAGATTTCCAGCTGCTTGCTCCTGAAAAGCAAGGTGGAATGAGTTGTGGGAGAGGATGATGTCTATATTCCCTATGACAGAACCAGGAAATACCATCCTGATGTTTGGAACCACCCAAACGTGGCCATAGATCGCAGCCAACATGAGAATAAAGCAAGAGGCAGAAAGCTTCCAGCAAGGGGTGAAAGAGAGACTTTCCAGACAGCCCTCATTGTTTGTCAAACCTAAAGCTAGTGCTGGTGGTATGGTGCTTCCAGTGTTGGACTGGGGAATTGAGAGATCTGGATTCTTGTCCCCACTGAGCCGGGAAGTTTGGTGGGTGATTTTGGGCCTGTCATGAACTCTTGGCTTCACCTACTTCACAGGGTCATTGTGGGGATAGAAAACGGAGTGGAGGGGAACTATAAACTGCCTTGGGTTCCTCCCAAGAGGAAAAATGGTGGGATATAAATGCAATGTACTAATAACCAGGGAAGGACTGAGGGAGGCCAGCTTGGTTGGTTTTTCCTTTTGTGCCCTTCTCCACGTTGAATTGTGCTGGACGTTTTTGTCCCCACAGTCTTCTCCGCCGCGTGTTCCGAGCCGCTCTTGCTCATAGGCGTGTGGCGAGGAGGTCCTGCTAAGTATGATCTCATGCCCAGCTTGGCTTCCCTGCCCCTGCCTAATACTCTGCTGCTCCTAGTGCCCCCTCCGGCTCCTACGTGAATGCGTGTTCACACTTCTGCCAATTGAGAGAGTGTGTGTGCTCTTTGTGCCTCTGTGCCTTTTGTTAGGAAGCTGGCTCTGTAAATGAATCCCACGGCTCTGGACTCAGCAGGTAAAGGGAGAAGGAAGTCTGTTAGTGCACGAGTCTAATCAGGCTGGCAAGAGCAAGTAAAGTAGGGCAGAATCGCACATTAGCTGCCGTGTAATTGAGCTCTTTGATGGGCAGGGCACTGCGGGAGAGGGTTCGAAGCAGAGCAGAACTTTTGTTGTTAATTCAGTTGCACATGGAAGCTGTAACGCTGTGCATCTCCACATCTTGGCGCAAGGAGAACTAAAAAAGCCTTCACGACCAGGCTTTTCAGTCCCTGCCCTTGGCCCTAGTCTACAAACTTTCAGGCCTTCTCTCTGCCTCCCTCTCTCAGCACTTGATTTCCCTTTTCTCTCTTTCTTTCTTTGGCTCGCTTTTTTCCCTGTGCACTATAAAAAGCAAAGCTCCCTTGCCGTTTGAACTAGGCGGCTGTGAGTGAGGGCTAGCTCAGAGCTGTGTGGCTGTTACCTTTGTATTCCAGATGAAACTGCCGAGCTCCGTGGGACAGAAGAAGATTAAAGCCTTGGAGCAGATGCTGATGGAACTCGGAGTAGGTGAGTAAAGAGGGCAGGTAGAGAGAGAGAGAGACCCATGGAGCAAAGCCTTTGTAGTCAAGAGGGGCTATTTTTCCCCCTAGTAATACAGCCAGTTCCTTGAATAACGCTATGTGAATAGGTTTGAAAATAATATCTTATGTATTTTGTTAAAAAAAAAGCAAGGGGGGGTAAAAGTCAGAAGATGATGCACAGGATTAAAAAAAAAATCTTACCAGTAGAAAAGTATTTGAACAGAGTCTTTGTCTCTTTCTCTCTTGTTTGGGCTCTTTAAGCCATCAAGACTGACAGCATAGTATTAAGAGGCACAGCTCTTCTTCCAGGAAGTAGTACTTCGAAAGGGGCTAGTGGCCATTGCCTGGGAGACTTTGGCTGGCGTATTGGCATGCTTGTTGCTGCTCTTTTGGAAAGGTCCTGCACAACCTGTGAGGGGAAATGCCTGGCATCTTGCGAATTCCTTCTGAATGCAAGTGGCTTTGTGTTGGCAAAGGGGGTCGCAGCCCAACACCCTTTGCCCAGCTCTGTATGGGGGGGGGGGCAAAGAAACTTTAACTGGGGTAGGGTAACAAACATGGGGTCACATAATGAATGCTTTCCCTTGAGGACGGGCTGCATTTACACTCTGCGCACATACTTGACTTTAAAAGACTGTGAGGTGTCTGAGTCTGGGGCAGGCAAACTCCCAGTATGTCTCAAGCCTGGGGGCAGCAGAGGAGCCAACATACTCTGCTGTTCAGTGCCTACTGCTGTGTCCAGCATGGAAAGTAGCAGGAGTACCATGGAGGCATCAGAGCAGGGCAGACGTGCGATGGAGCGGGGAAGGCGAGCAGCTCTTTCCCTTACCTTTCTCCTCTTGCCTTCTCCAGACCTGAACCCAATGCCTACAGAGGAGATTGTCCAGATGTTCAACGAGTTGCGCAGCGATCTAGTGCTGCTGTATGAGCTCAAGCAAGCCTTTGCCAACTGCGAATATGAGCTGCAGATGCTGAGACACCGTTACGAGGCACTGGCCAAAGCAGGGAGCGCAGGGCCCAACGTGGACGGTGGCTCGCATGCTGATGGACAGTCAGGCTTGTGCACTGAAGAGGGCAAGGGTGATGGCAAAGAACAGATCATTGATGTGGTTGGGGCCCCCCTCACACCCAATTCGGTGAGTAGGTGCTGGTATCGGGAACTCCCCTTACGCCCCTGCCATCATCTCCAGGTCTTCAGCAGCACTGGGTGTAGCCCTTAGGGCAGGGATGGGGAATGTGGACTGTGACTCCCATCTATGCTAGTTAAGGCAGATGGGAGTTCCATTCCACCAGCATTTCGAGGGCCACATGTTCCCCTCCCCTCAAAGGAGGAATGATGTTAGGTCACTAGGCCTTCTGCTAACTGTAACCATGTAGACCAAAACACTTAGGATTGCTGAGGACTGTAATATGCTAACCTTCTCATGTTAACTGCCTGCAAAGCAGTTGCTTTCCCATGGCTGTGTGGGGAGAGCACTCCTTTAAAGCAGAGCAGGGATGCTGGAGAACAGAAGTCTAACCTGATGGTTTGAGGACAGCATGGATGGAGACATGGAAGTTGATTCAGTGGCAGACTTATGTGCTGCACTGCTTGGTTTCACCAGCCTGGGCACTCTCCATCCTCCATGCCTTTGCTTAGCTGGCCTGCTCAGTCTCATACTTCTGAGTGAACATTTTTAAATACAGACTTTGTTCCAGTGGAGTCCATGGGACTTATTCTTGCTTTACGGGCTGTTACCCAGCTGGCCACCAAACCCTTCCTCCTCCTCCTTGCGTAACAGCTGTCCAATATGTTGTCATAGTAGCATGTCAAGAGCTTTGCCAAATATATATCTGTATAACTGAAGTAACGTTCTCTGTCAGCATTAGAAATAAAATGGAGTGTTGTGTAACAGCTCGTTCTTTGGGGCAAGAGAGCAGCCTTTCCTGTGGGGTGGGCTTTACCCTCTTGTTGGGCCCCAGTGTGCTGCCTCTCTAGAGGGAAATGACGCCTCTTGTGCTTGAGGTTTTAGCAAGCCACCTCCTCAGCTTTTACTGGCCCATTTGGAACTGGTTTCTCCCTGTAAAGTCTTTTCATCGACATGTGTCCGTTGACAAAACGTTGCGCTCCTCTGCTGTTCTCTTCCAATACCATGCTTGGGATAGGAACAAAGAGAATGAAGGCAGCACCAAGAGGGTTAACATGATCGGGGCTCTGACATATTTGAAAGAAATATAATCAAGTTAATTCACTGCAAGGCAAATTTGGTACCTAAAGGGCCCCCCTGTTAAATACAGCTCTGACCTTTACCGGCTGGTTACACAAAGCCGACACAATTAGATTAGTCCAAGACAAAAGGTCAAGCGCATTCACACTGTGACCACTTTATGCTGTCTTTGGAGGGGAAAGAAAATCCACCCAGCAGGAGGGGGGCAACTTAGGGAGGTTCACCGTTGCTGCCAAGATGGAGAGGGGGGTCATTAAAGGTGGGGTGTTGCTGTGGAGGGAAATGACACTGCTGCCGGTCAAAGAACTTGGTGTTGTCTTCTGCTTGGAAGGGGGTGTCACTGTAGTGTTTCCTTTGCAAAACTCGGAAAGGGAGGATCACATGGAATATCTAGTCTGCTACCTTGGCAGCATCTTGTGAAGGACTGGACATGCCCCCCCCCTCCATGTGGTCTTGTGCCACATCATGGCTGGGTGGCCCATTTGCATTTCCTGCTCGTTTTTGTGAAGATGGCACCTAGGCTGGAAGTGAGGCATAGGGGATGTCCAGATTTTGGCCATATAGTTGAATCTAGCTTGCTTTTTCCTTCAGACCAAGAGAGGAAATGGATTCACCATGGTATGGTGTGTGTCATTCCCTGCTTGTCTTTTTAGGGAGCTGATTCTGCTGCTCTGGGAGTTCTTTGGGAGTAAAACTCCATGGCCTGAGTCCTTTTGCTCCTGCACAGCCCTCCAAATATTGCACCACCTGAGCAAACAAGCAGGCATTGACTCAAACAAGTGCTCAATGAGGAACAGATTTCTGCCACTTTCAAACATAGGAGCTAGAGTTATTGTGGGCAGAGTATAAGGCTGGGTACTTAAACTGAGTTCAAACCCAAGTTGGCTTTTAGGATGACTGTGTTCCCTTAGGCACAGCAGTGGTTGTTGGACTAACATTTCAGCAGGCTATACCTCCAACTATCTTAAGAATAGGAAAATCTAGGGCTTGATTAACAACCTTACCATATGATGCCAAAAGGCTAAAATTAAAGGAAGGACTTAACCTAGCACCGAAAAAGTGGCATTGTTGATGCCAGGTGGTCATTGCTGCGGCGAATGTTCCAAATTTGAGGAGCCTTCACCAAGAAGGTCCTCTCCCTTGTTGCCGCCTTCTGAGACTCCCTGAGTACGTAGTGTGCCGGTGCTTTCATTCTGGGATAGGTGCTTCATCAGGTACTGCAGCCCCAAACTGTGTCAGGCTTTATAGGTCAAGACCAGCACACTGGGCTTGGAAATGTGCAGGCAGCCAGTACAAGTGGACCAGAGTCAGTATCATATGTTTGCATCTTCTTGTCCTTGTTATCGGTCTGGCTGCCACATTTGGCACAAGCTGCAGCTTCTGAACTGTCTTCAAAGACAGCTCCAAATGGAGCGCATGTCATTCTGAGCTCTTTGGAGGAATACTTCTATTCTGTGGTTTTCTCACCATGTTATGGATAAAAGACATGCAGAGAGTATTTACATGAAGAATGAAGGCTGATCAGCACTCTTGCATTGGCAGTTGTTTTTTGTTTTCTGGGGGGGGGGTTATTGGAAGTTTGATAGTGCTGAATCATAGTTGATATGTTCTGTACAAGAAACACATCTTCAAATGCTTGTTGACAGATGGCTGTGTGCCACAACTCCCAAGCATTTCTCTACTGGATTTGTGGACACATTTTATTTGTGTCACACTTTATTATGCAATCTGTTTATTTGGCATTTTCCTGATGTCCTGGCTTCCGATTCCAGTTTCTTTCCATTCCACCCACCCCCCACCTGGTATTTGCCAGCACTTCCTTACCAGGACAGAATCTGGAATCCAGCATTGCTGTACCTGCGTTAGCAACTGACCCACTTGTACATACCCTTTGCAAGCCTTTGAGATGCTTGTGAACGGCAGCGGTATTGCTAGACCGTGGTGTGGACTGAAGGAGGTCATCAGTACTTAGAGGCATGAGTGTTCCCTCCCCAAAAGTATTCAAAACTTTCACTTAAAGGCCAGTTCTTGGGAAGTGGGGGCAAGTGGGCCTCAGCCCTTCTCCATAATTCCGAGAACAAGATGGTCCGACCTTCGTACCACTACTTTTGAAACCGTTAGACACTTAGTGCCACATTGCCCTCTTGCCACAGCCAGGAAGGACCTGGCAGTCAACATCCACTGCCTTCTGATCAGCTGACTGCAAGCCTCCTTCCAATCAAGCCCAGCGCGGTCTCAGCTAACCCACTCTGGGATCCCCCAAGGTGGTGGGGTCCAGTGCTGGCAGCCCACAGGGGCAGGAGCCTTCTCCCCCCAACCCAGAGCACTGCTCTGCTGACCCAGGAGGGACGCTACTCTGGGCCTTTGGGAGGTGAAAGGTGAGTATAACTTGGAACAAATTAGTTCCAAGCAGCAGTGCAGCCAGTTACTCCAGATTAGAGCCTTTGATTTGCGCGACTCAGACTCCACTCGCCCATCCATAATGAGTTGACTCTCCTCAGAATTCCTCACATCAGCGCACTTTGTTCCTGGGCTCACAAGTCAGCCCATTAATGGGGAAAGGAAAGGACCTTGTCTCTAAGAAGTCTCGGGTTCAGAGTCAGAATCATTTGACTTTTAAGCTGCCTTTATCTGAACTCCTGCCGTCTCCCTGTTTTCTAAGCCTGCTTGAAAGTGAGAAGTTACATTGTTAACATCAAACATCCTTCCTTCCAGATGGAGTTAGAAAGCTCGCCTGCGCATATATATATATAAAAATGTGTATCTGTACAATGGTGTGTGTGTGTAAGATATATATAACAATTCTCATTCCATTCCATTAAGAGAGAGCCAGGTTCCCAGGCTCTTGTAAATTATAATGTAGAACATTTTTTCTAACCAGACACTTTCCGTTTTTGCCCATGGCGACGGGCAAAGGCAAGCCAAAGAAGGTGATTGATATGAATTTGTGACATATTTGAAAGATGGCTCTTTTGCCATCTAAAGATTATCAAACACATGTGCTCATCCCCATTAATTCGGCAGGCTCGCTGGGAAGCTCTCAGCCCCCACTTCTTTGTTTCCAGGCTGGAATGACTCTTTAACAGTGTCCCTTTTGGTCCTCATTTTTCCAAAGGTTACACATGGATTTTCATAAGGGGCCTGCTAACCAAGTGGTGCAGATTCCCCACTGAGAAAACCCACAGAAGCTGCTGTCCTGGCCAAACATTCTCAGCAATGGAGGATGAGTGCATCACCAAGATGTGCTGGGACATCATTACAAATGTACATTGTTCAAAAGTGTAAAACAAGCAGAGTGGTTTATGGGAGCCTGTGACCCAAGAGGGCTAATTTGAGTATGAGTTTTCTCTTCTCCACTTGCCATCAGTCCAGGCAAGTTGTTGTAAGCAATACCTTTACTTGGTAGTTCGCCCTAAGTGGTCATATGGTCCTTGATCATTTCTTTGGTGCTCCATCTTCTCCCCACTTCCCCATCTTGTCTTGCCTAGCCTTATTGACCCCTTGGCTCCAGCCTGCTACAGCGGTAGAGTTGCCTGTCATATTTAGGCAGACAAACTTCCTTGACTCTTAATTGCTGTCTAAAATAGCAGGGATGGAGTTCTTACTGTGCACATTTGAGAAGGGCCTGGGCACAAGGGATCTGCTAGTCTACCACATTGTGTCCCTGGTTTAGGCTTCAGGCAAGCTCATGCCATTAGCTCCTTCTACTCTCCCCTCACATGTCCAATCCAGATAGGTGTGCCTTGCAGCCAGCTACCCTGTACAATAGGATCGGCTGATGGAACTTTTCCTCTTTTGCCCGCACTGGAGTATTGCAAAAGAGCAGCTGTCGCCCTTACTTGTAAATCACCACAAGCAAGCTTAAGGGTGGTGCTTCAGTGTTATCCCTCCACCCCCCCACCCCCATCTCTCCCTGGCTTTTAAGCACCAGATCCAGGCCTTTATATTCTCCAGGTTTTGTGTGGTGGACAGAGCTATTTCTTCAGAGCTATCCATCTGGGCAGACTTGATCCTTTGGATTTGGAAAGTTTCTATAAAGGAACTTTAATGCTGCATGCACTACTGAATGAGGGCTTCTTTACCTGATAATCTGAACCCCGTTAACATCTCTCTTGCTTTTTGTTGAAATAGAGGAAGAGGAGGGAATCTGCTTCCAGTTCCTCATCTGTCAAAAAGGTGAAGAAGCCCTGAGAAACATGGAAGTTCCAGCTGCTGGAATTTGGAGGACCAGGACACTGACTGTGGGTGCAGGAGGGCTGCATGACAGTGACCTTTATGCCAGAGGATTCTTGTTGTGACATTGCCCTCCCCTGCTTGAGAAAAGGGTAGGCCTGCCCCAGGTAAAGGGGCTGGACTAGCTATGTGCCAGCCTCATATTACTTGTTGCTGTGGTTATTGTGTTGTCTTTTGTATGCCTGACTTTTGTAAACTTCCTTGTAAATACAGAATCCGTTAATTCTTGTTCTCTGATCCGACTCCTGTAATCACCGAAGGCAGGGGTAAGGGTGCGGAACGGTGACACAGGCTTCTTTTGATTTTGCTCCTACATTGGGATGGGCAGGAGCAGCATGATTGGCCAGACCACCAGGACTGGGATGGTTTTTCTTAAGGCTGCAAGGACGGGAGGATGCTATGTCTGGGAGTGCCTGACAAAGGTGGGTAATTAAAGTTACTCATGGTATTTCTCACATAGCAGCAGAGAAGGCTGGGTTCCCAGTTTTAAAATAATCCCAAAGTGGGGAAGTCTGTAAGAAAGAACCCTATGAACAACTTATTTTAATGAAAACAGTACCGGCAGAGAAAGACATACTTAGCTTATTTGGCACTCCACAGTTCACTCAAGTGGATGAGGTGCCCGTTCAGATTTGTTAGACAACTGTATTTTGTGCTACTGTCCTTGTGGACACATGAAGCCAACTCTAATGTAGTAAGGTCTTTGTGCCAACAGACAAAATTTTCAGATTCTTAGCAGTCAGTCCTGTGTGTTTACTTGGAAGTCCAACTATTCAGTACGTATGTATAGGATTGCATCTGCCTTGGCAGCCTTCTGTTCTGCAGCCTGTCTCATACAGACCATTATCACAGTTGTTTAGTGGCCAGTGGAGTAGTCAGCTAAATATAAGCTGGCTTTAGAAGAACCAAAGTGCATCATCATCATCATCTCATTGTCAGACCCAGTGTAAGTTATAGAAGGCTGGAATGGTCATGAAGGGTTTGACGTTGAAGTCAGTGTACATAATTGAGGAAAAGTAATAGTTTTTGATATTGAATTCAGCATCTTGAAGGGGATTTCTAGCCCTGTGGTTGTAAAGCTCAACTTGAGTGTGTGTGAACAATCTGATGAGATTTCCAAAGCAGGTGAGGATGATTTCCAGTGATTGGACGGTGAGGTTTCAGTGCCTTGCATTGCTGTTCTTTTTACTAACAGAACCAATGCAAAACGAGCACATGTCGACCCACTTGCATACCATATGAAGTGTACAGCCCTTGCCTTGAAGAGGTTGATTGGCCATGCCTGATGTCAGTCATGCATTTGGTGGTAGCACGTGGCAGATGTTAAGGCCATTGAAACCTTAAAGGAAAGCAAGAACTCCTAGTTGTGTGAGTACTCCTGCCTCAGCAATTTGAGTCTTGAATAGTTTAGTATTACCAAGTTAGCACTTCAGACTGTGTGGTTTTGGATTGTATGTCCACCTTGCTGAGTTTCTTACCATTGGATCACTCATGCCCCAAACTACTGGAAAGCCCCTTTCTGAGACCCCTTCCTCCTCTCACATACTCATTTTCCATCAGATACATGTCAGAAGAGGGCTGTGACACTCCTGGCCTGCAGCTGTCAGGCCTAACTCATGCTCTACCCTCCACTTCCCCTTTCAAGTGCAACTGGGAATCGATAGTGCATGACAACGCCCTTTGATTTACATTCTTGCTGGCAGAAAGAAAGGTCAAAGGCCAAGTTCTTCGTTTTCATAGAAAACTAATTAGACGACTCCATCGACACTGAATCAATAAAACTGATCAGGTGATTACACAGAGGGAGCCATTAAAATCCCTGTGACCTTTGATCCCAAGTCCCTAACCTGAGGTGGGAGAGACTTTTAGTTACATTTTGTAGTGGCTTGGAAGGGAAACCCCACAAAGTGAGAGTGGACTGGCCTGGAAGGCGTCCTCAGATGGTGGCGAGCGCAGGCTTGGCGGTGTGTGGGTTGAGCAGACGCGGCGTCTCTCTATGGTGTGCTCCTACTGGGTGCCTCCCCCTTCTGGGAGAAGAGTGGTGTGCAGGGAAAGGCACACATCAGACAGAGCTTATACACAGATAGTCTCCTGCTGTGCAGCCACAACTGTAGCAAAGTGGGAAGATGCTGCCAAGTGGAACAGGACAGCAAACTCTGCTGCTGCAGTGGGCAGGAAAGCACACAGCAGTGCTGAAAAGGCTAAGCATGTGGCTTTGTCCTAGCCTAAGCAGTTACTCAGTATATTCTCCCGTTCTCAACCTCCTGTTTGTCATTGTTCTCAGAATCATAAGAGGTAGCTCAAATTAGTGCATAAGCCATCTTAGGTCATGTAGCACTAAACAAACATTGGGTAATTATTCATTGGCATTCAGTGTTCAAGTTTGTTTGATTACTTTCAAATGATCGTGATTTTTTTAAAGTGTAGCTCCAGGCTTAGCTCTAGTATACATGGTTTATTTTCATAGCCGATGGAGAGGAATGGATGCACAACTCCGCATATAAAGTGTAATGAGAGCCATTGTGTACACATGTTGTACTTTTAAGTGCTGCTTCCAAGTATAGGCTAAACATGTAATAGGGGAGGCCATGAAATCTTCAAAGCACTTTCCTCTGCTCCTGGGTCCTGAGCAGCCTCAGCACTCTATCTGAACCATCCCTGGCTGTGCGATGAGGTGGGGAGATGCAAATATTTGGCAATCTCAGGACCCTTATTTCACCCAGAGGCCCTCTGGTTATTTTAAACAGAAGGTGTGCCAACAGTTTAGTTGTGCGTGTTAGCATTGCTTCATTGTCCCATCCCATGATCTCCACAGGAGCATTTGGCTCTCCCTAAAGTGAAGTTGGTATTGACTGCAAAGCAGGTAGACTGTATATAGAAGCAGAGCTCTTAGGGGGTAAGTATTCGCAAAGCCTTTTCTGGGGAAGAACAAAGGAAGCAGCTATTGCTCTCCAGGTGGTTGCCTGTTCCTTTGCTACTGCTGGAAGAAAATGCATGGAGTTAGTTTTCATAGGCAAGTGCAGGTGGACTAGTGAAAAGTTGTGTGATGATGATGCGAGAAAGCAAAGGTGTGTGTGCGCCAGCATTTTTGGAGAGCTTGAAGAGATTTTGGCAAAAGGGAGCCAGCACACCCGGTAAGGCATCCCTGGCAAGGTCATACTCTCCCCCACCCTGTTTGGCAGCACAACAAGGAGTCCTTCTCCAGATGTTCCTTTCCCCCAAACTTTATTCATGTGGCACATTTACAGCAAGGATGGGAGTAACGAGCCAATGAGGAGGTCAGGTTGGGTTCAGCTGGAACATCCACACACCATGCATTATTTACTGGGAAGGCCCAGTGCCTGTATCAGCTCACAGCCTACTGCTGCATGGGCAAAGCCCTCTTGGTGTGGCTTCAAGGTAGGTGGCAGCTGGAGCCTGTCTACCTGGGGATCCATTCAGCAAAGGCTAGCGTTAGGGCAGAATTTCTCCAGAAAGCACTGAGAGTACAGTGAAGGGAGAGCCATTCCTTATCTCCTTCCTTCCACACTGGTCCAGGGTGAGGGGAAACATGGGGAAAATAGGCCACATCTCTCGCAAGCAACAAACTGGTTACAGTTTCTGTGGAAGGTAGAGGTGGTTGGTTTAGTAAAGGGGAAGGACAGAATTTTCAGTGACTTTGCAGGTCCTCGCAGCATACGGAGACTGGGCTACCAGTAATGGGCATGCCCACTGCCTGAACGGACTGAACTGCATGCTGTGCAAGCACAGGGGAGGCGCACAGCAGGGTCCCCCACACTCTGAGGAGGCATGAGCAAGGGACCAGGGCACAAGAGCTGTTGTACATGATGATGAGCTGCGGTCCCTACTGAATGAAGCCCCAGAGAGATAGGTAGCTCTTGGTGGGCAGAGAATACAGGCACTTTACCTTGAACAGAAAGAGCCAAGCTTCCTTATTCACATACAGGAGGAATTGCAGGGTTAGTGTTCATTTAAAATGGGGGGGGGGCTGCCGAAGAAAGAGGGGGCTGTCTGGATGCTGCTCAGTCAATATTTAGCTGACACGCAGGAGACACAGTAACAGATTCACACAGAAAAGGGCTTGACGCAGCTGTTGAGATACTGTACTCAAAATAATATGGGCATGTGCCCCAAACATGGCGCCACAGTCTTGCTACAGGCGCAAATGGGAGCAGAGAGAGAGAGAAAGAGAGAGACGCCAATGGAAATCAGAAGCCAACAAAAGGGAAAACAATCTACGTCTCTAACCATGTGGAGCAAGCACCCTCGGGGGCTGCAGGCTGGGCCAGGCTGGGCAGGCAGCTGGCCCCAGAGAGGGAGTCACGTCAGGCCTACACAGAGATTCCAGTTCCATATATACAGCCTCTACTGGCAGAACAGCAAAACTGATGGAGTCGTGGGGTTGCTCGTTCCTCTGTCCTCTTCCTGTCAATTGAACGCTCCAGCCCATCACGCCCATGTAGCAGGAGCCGGCCGCATGCAGCCCTGTCCGGCCGGCCCCGGAGATCAAAAGGGCTTGGAAGTCTGCTTGAAGATGAACCCTCTGTGGGCCAATGTCTTCATGATGTTGGCAATGTTCTTGCAGTCATCTGCCAGCCAAGAAAAAGTGGATAAAGCAGAGAAACAATAAATTTCACTCATGCATAATAAAATGTTAGGAAATAAATTGACACATTCCATATGCATACAACAATCCACACAAAAATGTTTGATGTCTCATAGGTGTGTGCATTTATGTACACATGCCTCTATGATGCATGCTCACCCCAGTTAGACCATGCTCCTACCTGCAATACAATCGAACAGAGTGTGCTCCTGATTTCAGACTTGACACTACTTATGTTTCCTAGTTATGGCAATGAGAAGAAATACATCTCTGACTAGCATTACATTCTGACATTTACAGTTAAACAACTTAACTTAACCCAACTTAAGCCTAATTCACTTCTACAGGCTTCTTTCTCTAACAAGTAGTGTAGGCCACAGTGTAGGGTCTTGGGTGTCATCAACAGGCCATGTCCCACTTGAGTGGCTGAGTGATGCAGGAATCCCATTTCTCCCTCTGTCAACAAAAGCCAAACAGAGCAACATTAACTCTGCCATTATTTCTACAAAAGAGTTATAGTAGGCAGCACCTGAACAGCTGAAATCCAACGGTGCAGGCCTAGTTTTAGTAATAATGTATAACTGAAACCTGGCTGGAGAAAGGATCTGTGCATCTAACTTGTCCCAGCTCTGATTACCTACAAAGGCAACATAGCACCAACATGGGCTGGAGCGCTACCTATCTATATGGAATCCCATCTCCAGTCCACTGGTTTGAGTATCTGAACCTGTTGCAAGGCCAAATAAGAGATTTTGATGGTATTCTGGCCGCACTGCGACCAAAATATCCTTGCTCAAGATAGCCGATGGTGATTCTGACGTGATATAGGAAAACCCTGGGATGCTGATCTTGTGGGATTTCAATTTTCATGTTCAGACAATTTTCATGGGGCCTATTCAAAACTTTGCAACAGCTACCAAACCACTGGATTGTCTTAACATGTCCAATATACTCTTCAAAACACACTGCAGACCTGCTGTTTGTGAATGGACCAAAGGCTGGTGGGTTTGAATTAATTCCTCCTACCAAACCTCCAACTTTGTTGTCACAGTTAAAGCATTTCCTGGTGAAGAAATCAGAAAGGCATCCAAAGGAGAAATCATTACACTAGTGGGTGACTTCAATTACCCTCACATATATTTGAAAAATGCTATCTTAAGTTATAACAAAGAGGAACAATTTCTAGATACCCCAAATAACTACTCTCTACAATAGTTAGTCGTAGAACTGACCGGGGGGGGGGGGGCTCTGAAATTAATGTGGTATGACAACCAGGATCTAGTGATCTCATGCTTTAACTAGCTGTGTGTATTTCATTTCTCTTTACCCCCAGCTGTTATTCCATTCTTCACAATCCTGATACGTTACAGCAATACAAAAAACTGCCAACTCTCTAGTAATACTTTGAGCATGTACAGTTTTGCATTTTAAACTCACTTGACTCATAGCACTTTTATAACTATAAAACGGCATTTGCTTCTGCTGCTCTAATGCCACTCTCCTGTGTGCACAAAGCATTTTGTTCCAGGAAATGCAAATAATATTTTAAAGGAAAGTGAAAACATGAGCATCTGTAGCCATGCAAATGCCTAATCAGGTCCCTAGGTCTGAAATGTGTTTTTTGTTTAAGTAAGAAAGGTTGATGTGGTGAGAAGCACTGGCATAACCACACTGAACCACTGGTTGATATAGGGCCTGTTTGCCATGGTACCCATAATGTTGTTGTTTGAGTGGTCAATTGGGAACCCTCTGCACCTTGACCCCAAGGTCCAGTCCTACAAAAACCATAATAATAGAAGCTTAGCTAGACTGTATACTGCAGATCAAGAAAGGTCATCAGCACTGCTTAATGAGTATTGTCAAGGATGCTATACAAGAAAATAATGCCTCCTTCAGAAATATGGATGTCTTGCCCAAATGAGAACAAAAGAGAACACAAAAGGAATGCAATACAACAATAAGGCATGTACAAAAGGATTTTGAGGAGCATATTACTACTAACATTAAAGCCAACAATAAATAGTGTTTGAACCCATCAGAGGCAGCTAGGGAAGCAGCTGGGCCACTTCATGTCAGGGGAGTTGCAGGAGTACCAAAAAGTGTAAGATCACAAAAATGCTAAAAGAATTATCTGTTCACATTTTTACAACAGAGGATGTAGGGCAAATACCTGTATTCATATTTTCTGAAGGGAGATTAAAGACATGAGGAGCAAATAGTGGTGACAGGAGTGGAAATTCTAGACCTTACTGAGAAATTGAAAACACAAAAATCTGAGTAGATTATAACTGAGAATGCAAAGAATGCAAATATAAAATCCCAATTCTTCTAAAAAATACGCAGTATGTCGCTAAGATCAGCCTTTTGTACCACAGGATTGAAAAACAAGCAATTTAACACCAATTTGTGAAAAGGGATCAGGGTGGGATGGGTCTAGACCCATTAGATTAATATAAAAGATAAAAGATGCCAAGTATATAGAAGGACAACGTCCTGCTGAAATCTTACTTCCCTCCTGGAAAGGTAAGTCTTGCCTCTCTAACCTTTTAAAGTTCTTTGGGAATGTCAACAAGCAGAAATTGTATTATATTCAGTGGTACTGAAGCGAATAGCAATAGTAACAAGAAAAATAATAAGTTTGTGGGTAGCAGTGAACCCATAAGCATTAGGTTTTTTACTCTTTGCTCCTTGGGGTTCCGTTGCACAACAGAGATGAACACCAACAACTAGATATATTAGAAAATAAGGCATTCAGGGTCAGGTAAGACAGAAGCACCATTTTGGCTGCTCATCAAAAGGGGAGCAGTGATACACACCTTCTTGCAGAAAGTCATTTCAAGATTTAGGTACTCAGTCAAAAATGCCCTGCCTACCAGGTTTCAGAATCTAAGGAGACACTCTACAGATCCTCAGCTGTTGAAGAGGGCTCTCAAATGGGCTTGTCTGAAGGAGTCCTTAAGGCATCATGGACCAAGAATATTTAGGTTAGCCATAAGGCCACATTCCTTCGCTTGCCTCACTCATCACCAATCCACGCTTGCTTCCTTTCTTAAGGACTAAGCAAATCCTTAAATAGGATCGTTGCTAACCCAGGACTTCCTCACTGTGTCACCCACCCACTCACCGATATCAGCATGTCACACCATTTCACTGGCTAGCTTCGTGTTGGGAGAGGGTGCAGGGGGAAGAGTTGAGAGTTACTGTAAGATACACAAGATGTCTGCCTTGAAGCAGTGGCTCCCCGCCACCTTCTATAGAAGGGGTAGGGAAAGTATACTCAATTGGGAATCATTGGGCTGGGCCAAGGTCTAGACTAGGTAGCAGTGCAGGCCAAGTCTGGTTCATAGGCCAACAGTTTGCCTCCCTTAGTTTAGAAGCTTAAAGGTTAACAAAAACATAACTTAAGTGCAGATACAAATTAGTAGCCAGTGTGGCTGAAACAGTGCTCAGATGAAGTGACTAGAATGCCTCATACTAAAGAATACTTGCACAATCAAGATCCACACAGCATTTGCTACTGAATGTTAAGTTCCCAACAGGTTGATTTGCTACTTTGGGTGCTAGGATTCTTTCACAGTGTAAATGCTTGCCGGGAACTTGCCAGCAAGCATTGGCAAACCAGTAACTTCTGCAGTTCTCCACACAAAACCTTGAGAAATAGAAAGCAACTGCTTTAAACGTGCTTAAATTATACTTACAATTTGTTCTTGTTTCAAGTCAAATGGGATAACTAGCTCTTAAAACCAGAAACCATCTTCAGGAAAATCCTGATTTCACATCTTTCCCACCTAGAATAGTATGCCTAATCTTGGATAAGTTTAAAGGTGACTTGATGACAGATGACCGTACAACACCAGATACTGCTGTGTGACTCTGCTCTACAGTAGATCAAAGCTGTAGTGCTGGTCTAAATGTTTCTTAACCTTGGACAGGGCCATGGTTGGGTTGAGGGCTTTAAATCATGTAGACCCAGATCATCCCCTGCTCTGTTCTCTTGATCTCTTCCTCCCCAACACAGGAAAGATACGAGAGCACCAATCTTTCCACAGAAGGATGTATCTTGTGGTTCCTGGGACTCTGTACCAAGGACCATCGGTATTTCCTGTTTGGCTGATGTCTAACAATGCCCAGTTGAACTCACATAAAATGTGTCAAGTTGAATGAATGTATACATTTTGGCATAATCAAAGAGGCAAGGCTGTGATGACAAAGAACTGTAAACAAAGGTGTGTCTCTCAACCTCTAGATTAGATGTGGGCAACTTCTGCTGGTCCAGAGGCTCACTTCCTCCATGATGGAACCCAGAAAGGGCAACAGTCCTCCCTGGAATTGCTGCTACCATGCACTGATGGCATGACAACAGAAAAGATGCCTTGTTCAGCAGTGAAACTGCAGGGGTCTTGGTGGTACATGTTGTGATGCAGTAGTGGCAAAGCCACAGAACAGTACAGGGACTTGCATGCCCACCATGTGATGCCCAACCCTGCTCTAAATGTTTGAAATAGAGAACAGGTGCCTGGAAACACCATCCACATCTCCTTTCCCTTCCTTCCCTGAGATATTAGCAGAAAACTGCTCATACTTCTTTCCTTAGAAAAGCAAACAAGGTGAGTTGGAAGCAAGCCTTAAAAACAGGTATACACTCTACATGACACACCCAAGAAACTACGCCCAGATAAGGTAAATGGTTACAAATTCTTCTTTCCTGTGCCATTTTAGTGAGCAGTTTGATTACAGGCCCTGCTAGTTCCAGTCTTGCTCCTTTCCTGATGCCTCACAGGGTTGGGATGATGGTAGTTAGGACAAGATATTAGGCCACAGAAATGGACAGATAAAACAAACTACATTTTGTTCTGAACTAACAGGAAAGCAGGGTGGGCTGGTTCAGCTTGTGTTATTTACCTGGGACTAAACGCAAGCAGAGTTTTCTAAAATAGAAGCAAGGCTTAAATTGATTCCTGGTGTCTATATTTCATGTTGAAA